TTGACCCTGTCATCCAGCCACATCACAACAACACGTAACCCAATAGTCCAGCCACATTACAACTACACGTAATCCGATAATCCAATCACGGAACAGCGCTACTTCGCCATCAATAGTCCAAGTACAGAACAGCGTTACCGCCAGCCACTCCTAACTACAGAGCATTTCTTAACCCTGTCCAACCACAACGCTAGTTAACCCTCCCAGTACGACATTCAACCCTCAATAGCCCAACCACAGAGCAACGTACTACCCTCATCGATTCGTCTTACAGTACTTCCGGCAACCCTGTTCACTCCTCTGGAATCTTCTATTCCTTGACCTACAGTTTTCTATCACAACTGAACAAGAAACACTCCCTCTGCCATATACCAGCTCGTATTCATACCGTGTACTCAGCACAATCGGCGTACGCTCCTCCATATCACTTTGTACGACCGTACCTCAGCAGTATAGGCCCACAGTATTTCACTCCTGAAGCACCTCTTCCACAGATGTTAGAGTCTTTACTGTACTTTTCTTTTCCAAAGATACTTAAGATCCTACTCTCACGGTCTGAAACGTCTCCTTTCTCGGGATATCTAGGGATAATACAATGTTCAGTCGCATATCAACCTAACCAGTCATCACAGCACAGTCAGTTCTTTAAAATAAGCGCTAATTACCTCTTTACATTAAATAACACTATATAAATGCTAACGAGTATTGAACAGCTCATGTTCATAGCACTATCTTTCCATTACAAGATCGCTACTCCTACTCCCTCTTTTCCTCACTTTGTACGATCGAGCATCAGCAGTATAGACCCCTAGTATTCAGCTCCTGAAGTCTCTCTTTCACCGAAGTTAGAGACTCGAATAGACTCTTCCTCTCCAATAGAACTAAAGTCTCTAATCGCACTCTCTGAAAGGCATCCCGCCTCGACTTATCTCCTAATAATATCCAGTTACGCCGTACTTTCTCTTTTCTAGCTTAAGCACAACACCCTTCTTTTCTCTGTAATTGAACTTAATCAACAACACTTCCACAGACTATACACGCTTCGATTCGTATTCACTTGCATAACTAGATACCCCACTCTATATACTCTTACACTCCTTCCTCCATAGCATGCTCGCCATAAAGTACACGTAACGATAGTCCGCCCCACCTCTGGCTTGGACATCAACACGCACGGACATCATCCGAAGCCAATGCGGAAAGAGATTCGTTCTGGTAAGCTCCGGGAACGTAGCCTCCACTCGTCTCCGGTAACCCTCATCATGAAAGAGAGCAAACTGCATCAAGAGGAACAGCTCCCATGTAAGTGGCTGCACCACCTTCTGTCCTTTGTCTTTCCTGATGTATGTATCCCTGGTACTCTGAAATACAAAGTTGCGTATCGCCTCACTTTCAAACTGCGCCAGCAGATACCCCATGCGATACTCGTACTCTTTCATCAAGGGCAGATTTCCATATCTCTGTCGGCGCGACTCCAGTAGTCTACGCATGTCGTGTATGTTTCTGCACCTCCACATTTCAGGACAAGTCTCGACTTTCCCACCATCGCCGAAGAATACCAGTACGTCTGCCTGCCTTGTGGCAAGGCTGTTCCATGTATTGTTGTACATAGTCTGAGCAGCAACGGTGCCATGTAAGAATAGATGCCCCCGCTTGATACCCTGCTTCTCCACCAGCGCCACGTAGTTCGAATAGCGCTGCATGAATAGACGTCTCAGCATGTCCTTCTGCTCTCCAAACTCAACCATCAAATTCTGGATTCCTATACTCTGACACCGCCTGTACCAGCTGTCAAACTGATCGCCATCGTATATCATTCGAAGAACGCACATGACATCACTGCCCAGCTTCGCAACGGACACACTGTTATCCCAGCAGATACAGGTAACCTCCGACATGAGACACCCGGTACACCAGTTCCTCTTGGCGAGAAAGATGTTCGAGTTGAAGTATCTGTAGTCTGTTCCATACATGGCGTAGAGAAGGGGCCTGGGGATGTCTAGAAATGCAAATATATCGGATACATTCTGGTACAGTTGTTTGACGCGGATCTTGAGGGGAGAGTCAGTTTGTTGTCTTTTAGATAGAGGGGGGAGTGAAGGGGAGTCTGGAGTACTCGCGAAGGGGGCAGGCGAGAGAACACTTTCGCTGGTCGAGATGGGATCGGTAGAGGCGGAAGGACTAGCAGAGGAGAGAGTTTCTTGATAAACAAGAGAAGAAATGTTCTCACGAGCATTATCCGCTGTACCTGTTGTCGGATCTTCACGTCTCATTATTTGACTTGTGTTGTCGTGTGTATCTCTTAGCGGTCTATTTTCAGGCTGTACATCAGCAATGCCAAGACCACCGGTAGTTTCTTCTTCACGAGTGTCCACTCCATCTTCCGGTACACCTGCAGTTTCCTCATCACCAAAATCCGGTACACCTATACCTTCTTCATCAATATCCAGTCGACCTGCGGTCTCCTCACCTCCGATCTCCTCACCTGCGGTCTCCCCACCTCCGATCTCTTCACCAGCTTCCTCCTCTAACCCATAAAACTCGCGTATCGCCTTGGCGTAGTTCCGCACACGCATGGAATCTTTGTGTAACGACCGTTTGTTCCAGAGTGTCACGCACCTCCCCGCCTTTCTCAAACGTCCTGCCATCTGGATGTATGTCGAAACTGGCGGCACGTACCCCACAAGAAGCACCAGTCGCATCTCGGCTATGTCAATGCCCTCGCAAACCAGCTTTGTCCCCACTAGCACCTTGGTATCCTGATTTTTAAAGTTCTGTATCCTCTTCACCTTTTCCTTAGCTTCGAGATCGCCATGGACCCAGATGCAATCGATATCCAGATTCAGAGCAAACTCCTCCACTCGGGCTTTCTCCCCCAATACAACAATCACCTTTCCGTCTTGCTGTTCGTTTATGTATTGCAATGCAATAGTATCAAGCTGCCCCTGCTTGACTTTCTCAAAAGTCTTTTCCACATGTTTCAATGGCATCTCCGTTATCATGTCCCATATCTCGACGTCTTCGAGATTCAAAAAGTCCAATGGTCTCTTTAGCCCTTCTTTTCCGGCTGTGGCTGTTAGTAGCACCACCTTCCAGAAGTTTGGCAAAGGAACAGCAGGAATGCCTCTGAAACCGGATGCTCTAAAATCTCTTTCATCATACAGATTATGACACTCGTCAATCACTAGCATTCCTAAGGATGCACCCTCTATCAGAAGCTGCCACCGCTCAATCAGAAGCCTGAAATCAGATCTTCCCATGTTATCGAATATTCCCACGTAAACGTCACAAAAGTCCGTGACGTCCAACAGGGTCATCACTCAGCAGATCGCGCACAAAGCCTACGCGCAGTCCGTCTTTCTGCAGTCTTTGACTCATGTCTCCGAGAAGCGTATTGTAAGGAACAAAGACAAACGAGACGACATTTTCCTTGCGCAATGCCAACATGGGCAACTCAAACAGCAACGTCTTACCAAACCCCGTAGGAGCCTGAATGGGAATCACTGGTGTCGTTGATAGATATATCTCACTGACAAGTAGCAGCTGGTCTTGGCTTAGCCTGAAGCCCGCTCCGTATATGCTTTGCCCAGCTTGGAAAATGTCCTTTAGACTGACACTGGGTCGGAAAGGAGGCGCTGCGCTTTCGATTTGGCCACTGGGCATGGTCTCTACTCGTATAGTGACGTCAAAGTGAATCCAAGCATGCCACATTCTGGCAACTCCCAACTGCAGCTCTCCAGCAGTAGAAGGCTCCACACTCTCTATGGAAGAAGGATCAACCGCGTAGACCTCTCTGCCTGTTCTAACTGAGTGCGCAGACAAGAGCTCCTTCATTGCATTCCATAGGGTCTGACCCAAGTCGCCATCTGCTTTGATGTACTTTCTGATAACCGCTATCATGGCGTGCCTTAGCTCTCGGAAGTTTAGTCGCTGGACCTGCTGCACGGACTTTGGATACTTCTTCAGCATAGAAAAGAAGGTAGCATCCTTGATGAGTCTTC